AGGTCCTCTTCAGTTTCAGCAAACAAGATTGTATGATCTGCATAACATAGATTGTTGATGAATCTTCCTCCAATTCTGATGCCACATCCCTCATCATAAAGCCCTGCTTCCCAAATAATTTGTGCTGCATATAGATTAAAAAAGTATGGTGACAGGATGCATCCCTAAAGCACTCCTTTCCTGATTGCAAATCATGCAATGTTTCCCTGTTCTGTTCTGAGGACTTCTTCCTGGTCCAAGTGTAGGTTTTACATAAGCACAATAAAGTGTTCTGAGATTCCCATTTTCCTCAAGGTTAGTCACAATTTTTTGCGATCCACAATCAAATGTCTTTGCATAATCAATGAAACACAGACATTCCTCTGGCACTCTTTGCTTTCTGCCAAGATTCATCTGACATTGACGATAATGTCTCTAGTGACATGATCTCTTTTAAACCCAGCTTGTATTTCTGGTAGTTCTCTGTCAATGTACTGTTCCAGTAATTTCTATTTAATCTATAGCAGGATTTTGCTAGTGTGTGATATTAGTGATATTGTTCAAGAATTTCCACACTCTCTTGGGTCACTTTTTTTTTGGAATGGGAATAAATATGGATCTCTTCCAGTCAGTTGACCAGGTAGTTGTCTGAGATGGACAGCCTTCAGTGAGGTAGATTGACATAGTGACCACAGAAATCTGTTGTTCATAGGGTCATTATAAGTTGTACTCGACTCAACAGCATCTAACAACAACAACAACAAAAGACAAAGCCCTACTGAAAGTTGGCCAATACATTTTTAGACACAGGTCAGTACATTTTTCAGCCCTAATTTTAATTTAAGCTCAAGGAACTGAAAAACAAATTCAAACCTCGAGTTGCTACAATCAAGGATGCTTTCAGCAGAATGTTAAATGATCCAGGAAGTATTATTAAAAGAAGATGGAAAGAATATACTGAGTCACTGTATCGAAAGGAATTGGAAGACACAGAAGAATTTCATGAAACAACATATGAGCAAGAGCCTATGGTGATGAAAGAAGAAGTTTAGGCTGCTTTGAAGGATAAGGCAAAAAATAAGGTTCCAGGAATAGATGGTATACCAATTGACATATTTCAGTTAACAGATGCTGCCCTGGACGTGCTCACCAAATTGTGCCAAGAAATCTGGAGAACGACCACTTGGCCAACTGACTGGAAGAGAGCGATATTTGTTCCTATCCCAAAGAAAGGCGACCCAACCGAATGTGGAAACTACAGAACAATCTCACTGATTTCACATGCAAGCAAGATTTTACTGAAGATTATCCAAAAACGACTGGAACAGCACATCAACAGAGAACTACCAGAAGTCCAGGCTGGGTTTAGAAGGGGTCGTGGTACTAGAGATATTGTAGCTGATGTTAGATGGATCTTGGCTGAAAGCAGGGAATACCAGAGGAATGTCTATCTGTGTTTCATTGACTATGCAAAGGCATTTGACTGTGTCGATCATAACAAACTATGGCTGACTCTGAGAAGAATGGGAATCCCAGAACACTTGATCGTTCTAATGCGAAACTTATACTTGGACCAGGAGGCAGTCGTCAGAACAGAGCAAGGGAACACTGCATGGTTCAAAATTGGGAAGGGCGTACGCCAGGGATGCATCCTATCTCCATACCTTTTCAACCTATATGCAGAACAGATTATCCGGGAGGCTGGGCTCTCTGAAGAGAAATGTGGGGTCAAGATTGGTGGACGATTTATCAACAATCTGCGTTATGCAGATGACACAGCCCTGCTTGCTGAAACTGAGGAGGACCTGAAGCGCCTGCTGCAGAGTGTCAAGGATTGCAGCCTACAATATGGATTGAGGCTCAATGTCAAGAAGACAAAGATTCTCACCACTGGACCAATCGGCAGCATCAGGCATGGATGGTGAAGAGATTGAGATTGTACACAGCTTTAGTTTGCTTGGCTCCATGGTCAACATTCTTGGCACCAGGAGCCAGGAAATTAAAAGGCGCATTGCAATGGGAAAGTCTGCTGTTAGGGACCTCTTCAAAGTGCTGAGGAGCAACGGTGTCTCTTTGGAGACTAAGGTGCGTCTGATGCAGGCCATGGTCTTCACAATCACCTGTTATGCATCAGAGAGTTGGACCAAGGAGGATAGAAGGAGAATTGATGCCTTTGAGCTGTGGTGCTGGAGAAGAGTATTGAGAATACCCTGGATTGCTAGGAAAACAAACAGGTTTGTCCTGGAAAGGGTTAAACCGGGTGGCTCCTTGGAGGCAAGGATTCTGAGGCTCCGTCTGACATACTTTGGACATGTTGTGAGGAGAGACCGGTCCTTAGAGAGGGACATCATGCTTGGGAGGGTGGAGGGACAGCACAGGAGAGGAAGGCCCTCTATGAGGTGGATTGATTCAGTGACTGGGATAATTGGGATGGGAGTGTCAGAGACAGTGCGATTGGCACAGGGCAGAGTGGAGTTTAGGGCTGTTGTATATAGGGTCACTATGAGTCACAGGCGACTCGATGGCACATAACAAGAACAACAACAACAACAACAATTTTAATTTTAACCCCATTTTCTAAGCCTCCAGCATGTCTGAACCTTTGAGTTGCTTGAGATGGACTTGCACCTAACAACAGCACTATGAAGACTAGCCAAGTCTGGCTTTCTCCTCCTCCCAATTTGATTATATATTCTGATATAAGGTCTAGTGCAGTGGTTAAAGCACCTGGCTGCTAATGAAATAGTCAATGGTTTGAACCAACTAACTTCTACAGGAGAGTATTTGGCAGTATGGTTCCATAAAGTCTGTAGCCTTGGGGATCTTATAAGGCAGAACTGTTGTGTCTTAGAGGATCACTATGAATTGGAATTGACCTAAAGACAGTGGGCTAAAAAAAAAAAGCAAGTGTAGGCTTTGAAATAAAGGAATGAAGTTTAGTTGTAATAAGTTACCCATAATTAAATTATTAGTAGGATATTACAGAAAGAAAAAGGCTAGGGACAGGAAAACTAGCATTTATTGAATTTAGTTTGAATTTTCATGTTTTAATTTCTCCTCAGTCCCACTGACAACCTTCTTCTATAGATGAGAATACTGAGATGTAGAGAATCCCATGGAATGAGGTATTGAAACCTTACATCTGATGTCTCAGAAGTGTTTCTTTTCACTTCACCAGGCTTGTTAGTATCAGATTTTTATGTAGGGTTGAATAAAAATGAATTTAGAAGAAAATAAATGGTAGAGGAGTATGTGGCAATGGGACACAGAGAAAGAGATGAGAAAACATGTTTTATAGCTGTTGTTTGTGCTTTCAAGTTGGAATCAATCCATAGCTGACCCTTCAGTGGTTTTCAGAGGCAGTAAATCTCTTTGGAGGAGATTGTCTATCCCTCTCCCTCAGAGTAGCTGGTGGGTTTGAACTATGTCCCTTTGGGATCGCAGCACAGTTTCTTAACAGTAGTTCACCAGAGCTCCTTGTTTTGTAGTTGTTGTTGTTCTTGTTGTTCTCTGTCAAGTTGGAACCGACTGATAGCTGACCTTCCAGCATGTTTTCAGAGGCAGGAATCACACAGGAGGAGATTGCCCATTCTTCTCCAGCAGAGCAGCTGGTGGCTTTGAACCACGTGCCTTTGGGATAGCAGTGCAGATTCTTACCACCAGGCCAACAAAGCTGGTTTTTAGAACCTTTGGGTAGATTTTTGATTTCCAGTAATTCCACATGACAGAGTAGAACTTCACCATTGGATTTTCTTGTCTGCAGTCTTTATGGAAGCAGTTTGCTAGGTTTGGTTCCTATGGTTACTACAGTATGGGTACCTGGTACCTTAGGTAAAATAGAGGCATCTAGAGATGTTTCTGTATCTTTTATCTGTTCTGTGACAACCTGGTTATATATAGTGGATTGTTTTATTTATTTATTTTGGAGAAGAGAAATACTTATCTGATGCCTTCCTACAAATCCTTCACCAGTGAAACTCTCCTTCCCTTCAAAAGCTGTTGAGGTTGATTTAGCCAGTTGCCTACTGTGTCTGATTTTCATGGGGAAGTCAGTTTCTGGTGAGAAGAAGCACAAAACATTAGAGTAAGATTCATCTTTTTCAAAGTTGTTTATTAACGAATTGGTTTTCCTAAGAGGTTATTTATGCCGATACTACAACTGGAAGGCCAACGTAGGAATTCATTGGTAAATATAGACATTCCGAGAGAGTTGTTACTGTTTGTTGCTATTGAGTTGCCCCTGACTCCTGGTGACCTTATACATAATAGGATTCTACTGTCTAAATTCAGAGGATTTTCACTGGTTGATAATTGGAAGTTGATTGCCTGACTTTGCTTCCTTTTGGGGGGGAGCTCTGCTGAAATCTTCTCAGCATCATAGCAATATGTACACATCCACTGACACAGAGGTGGTGGCTGTGCTTCAAGTGGCTCGCTGGGGACTCAAATCAGGTCTCTCCTATGGAAAATGAAAAATTCTACCACTTAATCTATAATGTTATTGTTGTTGTTGTTCTGTGCTGTGAGTCACCTGCAACTCATAGTACAATAGCCCTAAACCCTGCTCTATCCTATGCCAATCTTATTGTTTCAGATACACCTACCCCCACGACCCCAGTCACTGAATCAATCCATCTCATTGAGGGACTTTATCTTCTGAGCTGTCGCTCCATTCTCCCAAGCATGACATCTCTCTCCAAGCATTGGTCCCTCCTTGCAACATGTCCAGAGTATGTCAGATGAAGCTTCAGAATCCTTGCCTCCAAGGAGCAGCCCAGTTTCACCCTCTCAAGGACGAACCTGTTCATTCTCTTAATCCATGGTATATTCAGTACTCTTCTCCAAAACCACAGCTCAAAGGCATTAATTCTCCTTCTGTCATCCCTAGTCATTGTCCAGGTCTCTGATGCATATAGATGGGGGGAAAACCATCTCAGAAACAGCTTAGTGGAGACCTGCTTTTGCTTTGGGGAAAGATGAAAATAGGCTGCAAATAAATATGCTGTTGCCTTGTTTTATAGCATCCTGATGAAAAGAGATTGGAAGGCCTCTCCAAGCAGCTGGACTGGGATGTTCGCAGCATTCAGCGCTGGTTTCGACAAAGACGCAACCAGGAGAAGCCAAGTACCCTGACAAAGTTCTGTGAGAGCATGTGAGTGGCTGCTTTACTTTCTTGGAAAAAAAAAGTACTCATTTCTGAGGTGGAAAAGAAATAATCTTGGCTTGTGCCTAAAAGAGCACGTCATCTAGTGAAAAATTTATTTCTGCACTAGTTAGTTGCTGTGGAGTTGGCGTCAGCCCATAGGGTCCCTGAGTCAACAGGGACTGATCCCCAGCCTGATCCTGTGCCATCTTCACAGTGGTTGCTCTGTGTGCGCCCAGTGCTGCTGCTACTGTGAAAACCCACCTGATAGAGGATCTTCTTGCTTTCAGTAACCCTCTGTGGAAAAACCAGGGGAAAGTATAGTTCATAAGAATTTTCTATTTCCACTTTGAATTCCTGAAGTACTCCTTCTAAGTGGGTTCTCTTCAAAGTAAGCAGGGTAGTGGAGCTTCTAATAATATTTCTCCCAACCGTTTTGGAACACAGCCTTAAAATCCATTGTGGTGTTATGTGCTGTGGAGTCAATCATGACTCACAGTGAACCTATGAACAGCAGCTCTGAACCTGGCCCTATTCTGTGGGGTCCTCACCACATCTAATACACTTGAGCTCATTGTTACAGTTACCATGTCAGTCCATCGCATTGAGGGTCTTCTCTTTCACTGTCCCTCCACCTTTCCAAGCTTGATGTCCTTCTCCCAGGTCTGCCCCATCCTTACGACATGCTCTTTCCTTTGATAAAAACTTGAGAGGCAAAGATGCATCATCAGAGGGTGATGATGATGATGCCCTGTGTTCCTGAAGATGTTGAGAACTAGCTAAAGGGTGTGCTGTGTGGATTAAATGAAGCCTTGCTTTAAGATGGAGGATTTAATTAAAGTCTGTTCTATTTTCTAAAGCATGCACGTCTTTATACGTAAATTACATATAAGTAAAGCTGTTATAAAGGGGGGAAATCCACTGAGAATTCTAGCGCAATGATATTTTGAGCAGTAATACTAAGTGCATTTACCTAAAGGAAAGTCAGAGGAAAAATACAGCATCAGGTTGTTCAGCACATTCACAACAAATTCACTTGATTATGCTTTAAGTGGTGGTGGTGGTGGTGTTAGATTGTCAAGTTACTTGTGACACTCTATGACCCTATGTATTAACACCTCTGAACCCTTCTCTATCTTAAACCATTTCATTGTCTCTGACACACTTAACCCCATTATCCCAGTCACTGAGTCAGTCCATCTCATCCTGTGTTTTCTTCTCTTGCTCTGTTCCTCCATCCTCCCAAGCATGATATTCCTCTCCAAGGACTGGTCCTTCCTAGCAGCATGCCCAAAGTATATGAGACAGAGCTTCAAAATCCTTGCCTCCAAGAAGCAGTTTGATTTCAGCCTCTCTAGGATAGACCTGTTTGTTCTCTTTAGCAGTCCGTGGTATGTTCAATACTCTTCCCAGCACCACAACTCAAAGGCATTGATTCTTCTTCTGTCATCCATAGTCATTGTTCAGCTCTCTGATGCATAGCAAGTAATTGTAAAGAGCATGGTCTGAATCAGTTGCACCTTAGTCTCTAGACTGACATTTCCTCTTCAGTACTCTGGTGAGGTCTCTGACAGCAGATTTATCCAATGTAATTAATCTTTTGATTTCCTGACTGCTGGTACCAAGAGTGTTGATTGTGGAGCCAAGCAAGCTGAAGTTGTTAACTATCTCAGTCTCTTTTCCATGTATCATAGTGCTGGCAGTAGGCCCAGTAGTGAGAATCTTTGTCTTCTTGATATTGAGCTTCAATCCATATTAAGGCTTCAGTCCTTGACCTTCTGCAGCAAACCCCTAAGCAAAAAACTAAGGTCCTCCTTAGTTTTAGCAAGCAAGTTTATGTCATTTGCGTAATGTAGGTTGTTGATGAGTCTTCCTCAATCCTGATGCCACTTTCCTCTTCATAAAGTCCAGCCTCCCAGATCATCTGTTCCACATATAGAATGAAAAGGTATGGAAATAAGACACATTCCTGGCATACACCTTTTCTGAATCATGCAGTGTTTTCCTTGCTTTCTTTTGACGACTGCCTCCTAGTCTAAGTGTAGGTTTCACACAAGCACAATCTGGGATTCCCATCCTTCTCAGAGTTAGCCACAATTTGTTGTGATCCACACAGTCAAATGCCTTTGCATAGTCAATGAAACAGAGATAGATATTTATCTGGTACTCTCTGCTTTCAGCTAATATCCATCTAACATTGGCTATCATGTTCCTAGTGCCACAGCCTCTTCTAAACCCAGCCTGCACATCTGCACATCTGGATAATTTTCAACAGCATCTTGCTTGCATGTGATATTAATGATGTTGTCCCATAATTTCCACACTCTGTTGGATTACTATGGAACTCTTCTAGTCAGTTGGTCAGGTAGTTTTCCTCCATATTTCTTGGTACAACCTGGTAAGCACATCCAGGGCAGAATCTTTCTATTGAAATATGTCAGTTGGCATTTGTCAATTTCTGGGGCCTTGTTTTTTGCCAAAGTTCCTCAAAATAGCTTGAACTTCCTCCTTCATCACTATTGTCTCTTGATTATATGTTGTTTCATGAAATTGTTCTGTGTTAGAAAATTCCTTTTGGCACGTACTGTGTGTATGTCTTCCATCTTTTGATGATTCCTGGGTCATTCAGCATTCTTCCCACAGCATCCTTAAGTATTGCAGGTTAAGGCTTAAATTTGTTCTTCAGTGCCTCAGCTTAAGGAATGGCGAGCAAGTTCATCCATTTTGATCTTCTGATTCTGGCTCCTTGCATATTTCATTATGATACTTTGCTTTTTCTTTTCTAGCTGCCCTTTGAATTATATTGTTCAGCTCCTTAATATCTTGATTTCTTCCCTTTGCTTTGACTTTTTGGTGCTCTAGTACATTATTCATAGTCTCTTCTGATGTTCATTCTGATCGTTTCTTCTTTCTCTGTCTTTGTAATGACCTTTTGTATTCTCCATGGATGATATTCTTGATATCCTCCCACAGCTCATCTGGTCTTTGCTCATTAGTGTTCAAGGCCTCTAACCTGTCCCTGAGATGGTCTTTAAATTTAGGAGGGACAGACTCAAGGTCAAACTTTGGTTCTTGTGGATTTGATTTTCTTTTCTTTAGCTTCACTTTGAACATGCATATGAGTAGTTGATGATCTGATCCACAGATAACACCTGGCCTAGTTTTCACACTAATGTTGAGCTCCTCCAGTGATTTTTCTATAGATGTAATCCATCTGATTCCTGTGTAAGCTGTCAGGTGAGAATATATTTGTGTTCTTATCTTTCTTCTCCCCAGTGATGTTAGGGCTCTGGGCATGTTTTGGCAGCCCGTGGGTCTAGGTGGCAGGGGGGTCCAGGGGCAGGTGTAGGACCTCCATTTTTTATTCATTCTTCACGATGTGGCTGTTCCATAGTATTAACAGTTCTTTCTTTTGGACACTGTAATCTGGTACCTGATCAATTAAAATATGCCAATGATGTTCCATTAATTTCAAGTGTTTTATTTTTGGGGTTCAAAACAAAAATATGTGAGACTGTAAACCACGTGGAGGGAGAGTTTGCCGTCTTTCTCTCCCAGAGCTGCTGGTGGATGCAGACTGCCAGTGAGGTGCCACCGTTGGGTTAACACAGCTCACAAGAACTAGGCTAGTTGAGCTCCCTTATTTGTGATGTAGAGTTACATTTTCAAGATTGATTTTTTTTTATGTTTTAAAATTTTAATTCTGTAGGAGACAATAGGCAGTCTCTTATCATGTGATTTACAACTTCAGAAAATCTACAGGAGGGTCTACTATAAATCAGTTTTGAGTCCACAGAAGAGAGTTTGGACATGAGGTTTTAAGAAAAAAAATTTAAAAAAATTATATTGCTTTGTTCACCAAGTTCATATAAATTGTGTTTCAAACTATTCTTCATTCATATTGTGCTTCATATAATTATTCTCCTGCATTATGTTTTATAAAATTAATCATCATTGGACCTTGACCATCATTATCCTGTCTTCTCAGGTCCGCACAGAAGCCTTCCAATTTCTCTCCCTCCACTCACCAAATTGCGCAAACCT